TCTGAACAATCGCTTTATAGCCCTTTCGCTCCGCAAGCCACAGCGCCGTCTGTAGCTCCTCCCTATGCAAGTTGACTTTGCCGGTGTCGAGAAGCAATTTTACGACCATCTCATGCCCGTTTTCTGCCGCCAAGCATAGAAGCGTCCATTGGCCCTTGTCTTCAATAAGTTGATTTACCATTGTTTCCTTTGGATTTTCCTTTTCTAAATCCTTGGGATCTAGGCAAGTCTTCTTTAGGTTGCTCATAGTCTTCAATGCCCTCTCAAGAACCGCCGTTTCTTCCCGAAGATTTTTCACTACAACTCCATACTGTTTCACCTCTTGTAATACCAATCTGACATTCCGTATCCTAGTCGCCGCATTTAGACAACCTTCCAACTCTGTCTTTGAATGCTCTAGAATACTTGTAAAGTAGTCGTGGTTGTTTCTATCTTGCTGCTTGTCTGGATTTATATCCCAATTCCACTCAAGTCGAAAATGGTGTGGAAAGACTGTTATCGATTGTAAAAGTTCTGGCCGCTTGATATCTCTGGTTGTAGCTTGTGAATCGCCTGCTGTGGAGACTGTAATCATTATAACCGCCCAGTGATCGTTGTATGGCCTAAGGATCGTAGGTCTCGACGCTCCTTGAAGAAGGCAGACGACATCTCCTTTTTGGACGGATTTTACCGTGGTCGGAAGAGTCCAAGAAGCACCCCATGCTTCCTTCATGCAAATATAGCTGGGGGCGTTACTCCAAGTAATGCTCACATCTTGTCTATCTTCCCAAGTAGCATTTCTCTTGACCGAGGACACTTCGCCAAGAATGCAGCCCTTGCCCTCGATGACGGCAATCTCCTTATCGTCCGAAACGTCTACAGAGACCAATTTGGGTAAGAGGAAGTGGATGAGTTTGTTGAAGAGTTGTTTCCACGAAATGTTGTAGTCTGCGAATAATCCTGCTGCAGTTGGATTATCAGAGCTCATCCGAGTAAGGCATATACTTTATCGCGACGATCCTTAGCTCCGCGGGTATGGTACATCTCTATCAGTTCACCCAGAGGACGTATGTCAAGAGAAAAGTTGTCTGTCTGACTAGTTGCGTATTTGGGCCGGAAGATTGCGGCCTTTATAAGGTAGGTTATCGAAAGGATTTGAGCCCGCAGGTCTGCGCGGAGTTCATTGAATAGGTTCAATGCATTTAGGCCTGAGGAGAATGCAAATCCGTCAATCTCAACAGAACCACACTTGATCAGGATATGGCGAGCCGCGGCAACTTCCTGAAGCACCTGCATAAATCTGTCAGTTTCCTTAATTCTAATACGTTGACATCGGTTCACTTACCCAGATGCGCTGAAACCACGGTCGTTCAAGCAGTGTAAGAATTTCCGATTTATTATTTAATTGTCCTGTAGACAGCTTGGCTGCGATGCGTCTTTCTTCGAGCGTAGATAGCTCGGCTGCGATGCGTATTTCTTCGAGCGCTTGGTCGCTACCGGCTGCCTCTTCTCCAAGCCAAACAATTACGCGACTTGCTTTAGCATAGATCTTCGCCATAGATTCAACTTGGTGTCCTCTTTCTACTAGGTCTTTTTGGTTGATGCAAATAGCATCTATCCATATGATTCGTTCAATGGAGTGATCTCGAAGATGTAACAGCGCTGCGTGAAGGTTTTCTCCGATGGGCAAGTCGTACCCGTTTATAGAGATGGAACAAGGCTTGACCTCGGAGCCCCACACGTAGGATAAGGCCTCGTACGGACGAGTGCCTTTTGAGTCCAGTGCGGTGCCTTTTGAGTCTAATGGGGTGCAAAAGAGCTTGCAGCGTATTGCGGCGTCCTTGTTTTTAGACGGCAACAGTTGAAGCAAGCGAATATGGCTATGTGATATGGGAAAGTGGTAATATAGATTCTTATAGGTGTTAGCATTATTCTGAAATTTCGTAGGGGGGAAAGAAATAAGCCTACTTCCACCTGCTTTGGGCTTTTGTTATCCACGCAGACCCATTCAAATAGGAAGAAGTGGATGAGTTTGTTGAAGAGTTGTTTCCACGAAATCTTATAGCCGGCGGACGTCTCTATATCGGCGGAACCGGTAGCTGGAGAGGCTGGGAACCTGGGGGCGGGCATACGGGTAGCGGACATAGCGGTGACGGCGGAGATTTGTTGCAAAGGTGCAGGGCGAGACTGCTCTTGGCCCTTATCATCTTCCCAACACTCCGTATTGTGCAGTCGTTGAGACATCGTAGCTTTAGGGAACGAAGGTCTTGAGCGAGGCGCCGTAGATGAGGCACTCGAGAATGATCGTGTTGTCCTAGAGGCAGCGAATGTTATACGGTTGACGATCAATGGATTGAATTTGTAAAAATGCTGGAGATTCCTCTATCCTGCCCCCAAGGACAAAAGAAAAAGAAATTAGAGCACTATGTTTTCTCAAGGCTATAGTGGAGCATGAGGCGTCGTGTTGACTCTGTTTCTGTTTCACCATATCAGGCGTAAGATGGCTGGGGGCGCCCTCTTAACTTGATACCGGAACGGTATCGCAGGCATCACATATCATTTTACTAATGCCTGAGGCACCCACCTTCGCAGGCACCTGTCGGGTTCAGTTGAATTGACCCAACCCCTCGGTCCCATCCCCACTTGTGTAGGTCCTGTAGATTAGATAAGGATAGCTTGCTTGCATATGGTCTTCGACCGCCGCAAGCTCCCCTCTGGATTGTTTGCAGAATCATCACATTTTACACATATAATCAATCACATTCAAGATATCTCCTTAATGCTTCACGATAACCCCCCAACGGTATTACAACTACACACCAATAGCCCAGAGGACATTTCTTTTCTAGAGGCTGGGCATTCATGGACCCGGATGGTTCCGGGCGCCAATTAATAACTCGACTTCGGCGAGGGTCGTGGCATTTTGTTATGGGGTTTACAGGATTGGCAATAGTGTACCAAGCAGCGGGCGTGGCGTGGGTAGGGCTGTAAATCCGAGTGGAACCTGCAAATTGCAGTAGAGCGTAGGCTGCCAGTGCTGTCAACAACCAAGTCGCTGCAATAACCAGTGTCCTTGAGCGGACAATGTATTGATTCTTTACTTTTTCATTTTCTTTGGGACCTGTGGCCGCGACTGAGAATTGTGCTAGTATACCTATACCGCGGATATTGCACTTTGACAAACGTTAACGGGGCTAGCCGCAGTGTCAGGACGGCCAACTTGTCTCGTAATCGGCCCAATTATATTCATCTTTTTAGCGCCGGCTCCCCACTCACTGTCTTGCCTCCGTTCGAACGATTTTGGATATGGGAGGTGGCTGTTCAATTTTTTGACCTACCACGTGAATACAAGACCCGTTTCATATCCTTCCAACTCCCATACATAAGCTGACCCTCACCGGCGTATCTATGGGAGAGCGGACGGGATCCCGAGTTTTCCAGTGGGTATGGTCGTATGTATTTATTCTGGATCTGAACTGGCCTTATGAAGGAAGCGTCAAACTTTGAAGTCCCCTGTCTTGCATCACGACAGGCATAGTCCGTCATGCACCTTTTTCACGGAGAGCCTCCCGTTGACTGGCTGCTTCTATCGTGTCTAGAGGTAGGTAGGCACAGTTTATGATGTGTTGCCGTGTTGCTGCAGGGCGTTTTGGCGTTCCGAGGCACCTGTCGTCTTTTCGTGGCGATTGGATGAGGACTGCGAAGGGGAAGACTGGATGGAATGTTGTGAATGGTGGCTTTTTAGTGAACATGCAGAAATCCTGTCGTAGCCTTATGGACTTTTTTCTTTTTCCCCCGCTGGAAGTTGGGCGCATTGAAGGGCGTATTTCTGGAAGTGTAGATGGACTGCGCTCGATGCTTTATGGAAGCTTTTTGTTCCCTTTCTCCATCGGTTTTGGTTTTGTGTGACTTCTTTTCTCTCTTCCTTTAACTCTACATCGCTTCCTCGTCATCTTGTTCTTTTATGCTATATACCTAGGTTACTTGACTCAGGCAGAGTTGGCCTTAATACGCAAGATACACTTCGACATGAGCTCGGATTTCCTTCTCTGCTGGAATGACACCAGCTCAAGCGACGGGAATGGCACTCTGGCCTACTTCAACATCACGATTGACGAGTGGACGCTCGACTATTGCTGGCGATACGACAGATGCCCTCCCCTGAAAGCCGACGCTGACATTGCGGGCATTGGTGTAAGTCCTCGTGCTCACTACGTCGACAAGCTTCGTCCCGCTCTCTTTGTTTGCGGATGACACTTGGACAGTTGTTATCATTCCAAGCGTCAATGACGACGACAAGGCTCGTGAAGATATGCTAGAATGATTTGGAGATGAAAACGAATGTCAGCGAACACTAACTGTGAAGAAAATACCTAGGTGGTCGTTACGCTGATCGTCTTGGTTGCCTTGACGGCCAAGTTTGCGAGCTCCCTTCCGATGATTTTAAATCTACGGCTCCCAAAAGACAAAGACCGAGACCAATTCAACAAAGAGTTGGATCGTTTTGCCCTCAAGCATCCTGCAACTGCTCGAGTCATCATCTTACTGGTAGGTTGTCTTGGATGGCTCTTATCCATCCCTGATTTTGATAGGATTCTTTGGGGCCAGAAGAACACTACCCGGCGTGCCAACATATACTACGATATGGTCATCGCCCTCAGCGACCAGCAACTTGCGACTGCCATTGCCTTGCTTGGTGCAGCGATCAAAAAATTTCATATCGATAAGGACATCAGCGTCTACCACTTCAACGTGTTCGTAGCCTCAGCATTGCTCAATTCTATTTGCTTCATTTGCGCAGCTTTCTCCCATAACATTATGACGAAATGGGGAGATGCCCAACAAATAACATTGTCCTTACTGAGAATCAGAGCCGAGCCCGACCTGGGGAAGAGACGTCTGACACCAAAGTTGCCGTGGATTATGAGAATCATTCTCATGCTCACGCTTAATGGATTACTCGTCTATAGCGGCTCGGTATCACAAAGGACCAAGCAATTTCCAGGGGATTGCCCGGCACTGTGTTTCCAGAATGAGCCGGATATGAAGCTGCCAATTACAACAATCTACCACGGGAGCAATGAACCTATTTGGTGGCTCTGACCATGTCTGACCCTCTTTAACGCTTCAAGCTACTGGCAGTTGGCCACGATCTACAGATGGTGGCTTCCTAGAAGCCATCTAAGGTCACGATTTCTCTCAAGATTTCTAGACGCAACCCGTAACGGGTTTCTCACCTCCCCGGCATCTGTAAGGGTTTACCGGTTTATCTCTTATGTCTCTAGTCAATTCCTTGTGCACTCGTTCGTGATGTGCCTACTACTCCTGATGTTTGTTAGGACGGACAAACCTATGTATCAAGAGGAACCTGGAGCCGAGGAGAGCCTGGGATTCGGCCAAATCGTCCCTTTGTTTCTGCTCATCCTTCTTCTAGTACAGCTAGCCAACTCCATATCAGGTACGTATTCATGCCCCGAACTTGATAAAATTCGTTGTGACTAACAGCCGCACTCTTTCTTCGCTCTAGTCCACTACGGAAACACCGAGGGTAAAGAAACATCCCTTGCCAGAAGGAAGACATTTTGAGGTGCGCAGGTACTATCACCGCATTTTTTCGAGGGGCCTGTCTCTCGGGAAGGAGGTCGATGGTTCGGCAGTATGGTGGAATCGGGAGGGTGAAAGACTTTGTAGCGGCCCAATCGTATGAAGAGACTCAAGATCCCGAAGAGATGGATCGTGGGATCAACGAACCTGTAAATCACTGTATCAACATCTGCCCAAATCGCTCCATGGAGATGTTTCCCAAACTTACAAATCTCAGGTTTCCCATCCCAGCGTTAATCATTAACATTTCATTAATCATCAGGGTCATGATCATCCTCCGTAGTCCCCCGAATGCAAAGAGACGGAAAAGAGTTCCAGGCCCACTTGATCCCCTGCCTCCACGGACCCGGCCAATTGGGTACGGACGAACCCTTGCGGGCCCCGCCCCGCCCCGCCCCGCCGCCGGAGTGGACGGCACTTGCGCGCTCGGGATGATGTCATTCGTCCTTTTTGGCTATGCAGGGGTTTTGATGCGTTCACCGATTCGGATGAAGAAGAAAATCGATGATGTTGGGATGAACTAATTGGGTTCGATTACTAAGATGGGATGAGACGGATGATGTTTTTGACGTTTAGTTTGTCGCAGACTTCCCATTTGAACGTTTCGTAAGGATTTCGTTGTTGATCTCCTGGTGGTGGTTGTTGATTGAAGTCTGAAGTTTGGCAAACATTCTTTTCTCCTTTTCCTTCGGCTTTTGGCATTTTGCTCGTTTACGACCTGACCCAACTTTCGGACGTCGTTAGTGCTTACAGCTTTCCCATTGAGCATTGAACGGTAAAGTTCCAAATACACTGCGCGTATCGGTTCGGAGTTATTCATCGGAGTTCCTTCAGTTGGTTGCACGACTCGCACGACTTGACACAACCCGACAAACCCATACATACATACCTTCTCCCTGAAACACCTTTGACATCACGAGCCACGAGAAACCAAACAAGACGGACGGAGCTTTCCATAGTTCTTCAAAGGAGGAAGTCAATCTCAAACCCAAACAATCGTTCGAACCGCCAAAATCTGAGACCAAGCCAGCCAGCCAGCCACCAGTACGGCACCAGCCGTGTTTTCTAGTTCTTACGATATCGAAAAGTGCAAAAAAGCCACCACGAGCTTCGCCAAGGAATGCGCACAAGCAGGTACGAACCGAATCCCGCTCTTTTCTTTGGACGCCTCCTCGATCAAGGGTCCTTTTCTTCACCGCACCCATTCACATCCACATACTACGAGCCATATACCAATCATCATCGTGAATGAATGGTACCCATACCCCGACGACTCCGCTGCCTTTACTCCCAAGCAAGTTTACCAACCTCCAGCTTCTTCAAAGCTAGGCTCGCTAGGCTCGCTAGGCTAGGTCGGCTAGGTACACCGCATTGAAGTTGGTCTTCTTCGGTTCCCATCCTTTAAGTCTATACATCGACAAAAACTTCAGCGGTTCTGTACTTCCACCATATCGAAATCATTCATTTTCGGACGACATCTGCAGCCAAGCCCGATCTAACGACGACGCACATATACGACAGAAACTGGATGCACAGTTCGGTATATCTCCATACCACAACAAGGAAGACATTTCGTACGAAAGGATTTTTGAACGGAATTCGTGGGGTGCATTGCATGCAGCAGTACACGAAGTACGAAGACACGAACGAACGGACGCTGGACGCTGGACGACATCAACAACTTCCAGGTTAGCAGTTGAGACGAACACGACATCCCGTCGGACCAAACTCAACTCGGTAGAGCAGCATATTGGAAAAACCCGACCTGCATCAGACCTCGCATCACGCAGCGACGCTTCATCGTGCACCACATTGCACCACACACACACACACGACATCAAACTACTGACGCTGTGGCCCAGCTTTGTTGAGACATTCATTTGTCCGTATAAGCGACGACAGAATTGGGAAAGGGCGCAGCATTGGAAGCAGTAGAGTGCATCCGGAGTTAGTTGCAAGGACAGGCCATCCATCAACTTGACGTCGAATATTTGCCCGGTTTTGGACGGTGCGATCTTGACAGCACCGCGCAAGGAGCAGGAGGAAGGTACAAGGGGAAGTTTGGGTTAGAAAGGAGCTTTCCGAGGTCAACACTTACGGTACCGCCGACGCGGCTAAACCACACCTGCATCACACTGCATCGCATACCCGACACTCATACCCGACACTCATCCATCATTCCTCGTCGTTGACGACGGCTAGCTCGGTCACTTCGGTTGTTGACGATTCTTACTGGACTCCAACAAAATCCGACAGCGTCGAATCACTCATGAACCAGCAAACTTACCAATAACACCCTGACAGACCCTCAAAATGCCACCACCAACACAACATCCTTCTGCCCCGGAACAATCCAGCTCTTCACGATACTCCTCGTCCACCTCTTCACGTCCCTCATCACCACAAGATGAACCCTCTCAACCCTCCTTCCCCCGCATCTCCTCTTCCTCCTCTTACTCCCAACCATCTCAGCCAAACAATGATCAGCCACCCAGAGATGATCGACCGCCCCAGCTATCCCACCGAGCTACCACCCGCAATGCCAACGCTCGCACATCAACCATCCGTACATCCACCGCCACCGGCGCTCCCTCACGCCCTTCTCACCAATCTCCACCCCGCCGAGCTGCAGGACCACCCGATACCCTCCGCGAAAAGATCTTCCACGCCCTGCCTCCCCACACGGGACCCCTAAACGTCGGTTTCATGGAACTCGAGCTTCCCGTCCGCGACCCGCGCACTTTTTCGCACATTAAACGCAACGGGGAGTGTGCGCTCAAGCTCGACACCGTCCTTTTTGCAGTGTACTACCCGTGCGAAGGACCGGAGGAGAAGCCGAAGGAGAAAGCGATAATGACAAGGGATCGGATCCGGCGATGCAGGGGAAGTGGGAATTGGGAGGGATGGGATGATGAAAGGAGGGAGGAAGGAAATGGGGTTGAGAAGGAAGGAAAGAGAAGGGGAATGAAGAATGGGGGATTGACGAGGCCGCCTTGGCTACCTAGGCCGAGATTGAGTACGTGCAAGGGGTACGCTAACTTTGCGAACATGCCGAATGCGCCGGTTGCTACGTACTTTGCTTTGACGAGCATGTTTACCAAGTTGCCGGCGTGGCGAAACGCGAAGCTGAGCGATGGGCCGTCATTGGCGGGACCGGAGGAGATGGGAGAGGAAGCGCTGAATAGGGGGTTCAGTGATACGAGCGAAGTGACACTTGTCTGGGGCCCGAGGCCGGCGCCGGATGCGGAGGAGTTACGAAGACGGAGGGCGAAGTACCCGGTCATCATGTTCAGCCACGGCCTCGGCGGGTCGAGGACGGTGCACAGTACCATCTGCGGAGAACTAGCCAGCTACGGATTTGTGGTGGTCGCGATGGAGCACCGCGATGGAAGCGGAGCGAGGACCTACGTGAATAAGGAAGGGTCATTGCCGGACTTGTGCAGCCAGAACCTGGATCGGAGGTCGAACACGAAACGGGAGAAGGAAGAAGGTTCGCTATTCCACAAGAAACGACAACGGAAGAAGAATGGCAACAACAAGCCGTACTACATGGTGGACTACCTCTTTCCGCTCGACAACGCGCAAGATACCCGACCGCATAACCCGGCCGGAGTAGACACGGAGTTACGTTCGGCGCAAATAGACATGAGATGTGCCGAGATCCAAGAGGCATACTACATCTTGGGAATGATCAATGACGGGCAAGGAGAAGAGGTTGCGCGCCGCAATCTAAGGAAGAAAGGAAATAAAGGCTCAAGCTCAAAGGGGCTCATCGGCATCGACTGGGTGGATTGGACGGGAAGGCTATACCTGAATGATGTGACGATGATGGGTCACTCGTTCGGAGGAGCAACGGCGGCGCAAGTGCTCAGATTACACGAAGACTTCACGTGGATCTCGCAGGGTATCTTACTCGACGCGTGGGGCCCAGCGATGCCGGAGGACTCGAGCGAGGAGCACAAGATCCGGAAGCCAATATTGGCCCTCGGTAGCGAGGCCTTCATGCACTGGAAGGACAATTTCAAACGCGTAGAGAAACTCTGCCTCGAAGCCCGGGAGGCGGGCGTTCCTGCTTGGATGACGACGATCCGGGGCTCGGTCCACCTGGCAGCGGCGGATTTTGCGGTCCTTTATCCAAATTGGATGTCACTGCTTATGAAGTCTCTTGTGAATCCAAAGCGCGCGATCCAGCTTCATGTCGAATCGGCACTTGAGTTTTTCAGAATGACGCTCCCAGAACAACAGCATGCCAGATTCAGCAAAGCCTGGCCGTTCGAAGAGGGGCTGCTGACGACGACACCGGGTGCGGCTAACGAGGTCTCTTTGGAATTCCGGCCTGACAAGAAATGGGTAGCCGCTCGGCTAAAGATTCCCCATGAGTTCAAGCTACGCGTCCGAAGCTGGGCCAAGAGGAGAATACAACCAGGCCCAGATATACCAAGAGATGGAAGGGGAAAGCCCCTTGCAGGACTGGTAAACTGGGGTGCAGGAAACGAAATCTGGGTGCACATCAGTCCAGACAAGGAGGAAGTGCCCAATGTAAGCGAAGAGGCAGAGTAGAGTAGTGGTCGGATTTTTTGTTGTCGCGTTCCACCGGGGCCGGGGAAAAGGCGGTGGGATGTGCTAAGGCCGTACCTGGATTTCAATGATACCCGTCATCTACCGAAAGCATGTTTGAGGATGAGTATGTGGTCGCCAAGTAAGCTTGGTGAGGATCGGGGAAATGATTGCGATCTGATTGTGCCCTTGGAGTTGTATCCCGGCTTGCATGCCCAGGAGTTGAGTATGACTAGCGTTCGGATAATTGAAGTATCAGCACAACAACCAGAAAGAAAGTTAGCTCGGACAATTGTGCATGCCGAAGATGGCTTTCCACGTAGAAAGCGCTCACCCGAATACCGGTTTTGCGGCCATGCTAGGCAAAACAAAGAAACCAAAGCCGCTCGAACGGTGCTGCTTTCCAGCGACGCTTGCCGGTTGCCGGCCTGCCGAAAATTGATTGCTTATTCTGCGCACAGAAATAGTAGCAATTATATTCCCCACGGGGTAAAATAGGCGAAACAGGTGAGCGAATGGCAGACAGTCGCTTTCCACCATGCTCGGGCGAGAGGTTGTGAGCAGCGCGGTAAACAGACGGCCGGATATCTGACCAGGGGCGGAAAGTATGTGGTGAGGTTTGACGAGGAACACGTAATGCCAATATATAAACACTTTCTGCAGCAGACAGGCCTTTCGGTTCCGGGGGCCGGGGAGTTGGTTGCCGCGTGGATGATATCTCGCGTACTGGTAAAAGACGCTGGTTAATATCGACGGCCTAGCTGAACCAGGAAATTCCAGCGAAGGATATGCTGGCGGTCACGGGTAATGACAAGATCGGACTCGAGACTTTTGCGTAGTATTGTGGGTGACCATCAACCAGCGGCCTTGGCCAGGTTGGGGTGGTGAGCCTCAATTGGGCGCTTCGGGCCCGGTGAATCCCTGACAAGACATTCATTTGGTGATGGGCATGGACAAACTGTTCCAGAGTTGACAAGGCCAGGATGACCCGTTCAGACAGGACGAGCAAGAAGTGGAAGGCTTTCAAGGAGCTATATCCCCTGCTACCCTTGCCTTTGCCAAGTTAGCCAGACGACAGCTTCGGCCGAGGGAATAGCTCCAAGCCCTGAGAAGCTGTTCCTGGCAACTTGAAGCTGCTGTGCTCGGTACCACCAGTGTCATGTCGGTCGAGAGCCTATGAATATTCGCGATGCTATAACCGCTGTGGTACGCTGTGACACTCTTCGTTCCTGGCTTCAGCAGTCAGCTGTTTTCTCGGTGGAGGTGTAACGGGCAGGCAAGGCTACAATTCACAGGCCATGATGACCAGGACCCAGGCCTGCCGGGAACGGAGCAACATCGGGGCAGTATTGGTGATGGTCCGGATGCGCCATCAAAGGCGGAGAAAAGGGTGAGGCGTGACTGCAGTGTATCGTCAGCGTCTGTAGCCGGTAGCAAGAAGTGATTTCCACCGGAAGCACGCCATTTTACTCGATTAGCAATTTGGATCAGAAACATCGGGAGCGTGTCTCGCCAACAGCTTCTGGACTCCGTTAAGTGTCGTACGTGGCCGCGAAAATCCTCGTCGACCACGTTGTTGACCATGGTTCAGAGGCACGACGATGGTATCCTGCGGGCAGGAGGCGGACGACGACCGTTCCAAGTTGAAGATGGCTTGGATGGCTGGTAGAGCTAGTAGCTGGGTAGGGGTGGTAAAGTTCTTTTCTTCCAGAATCCTGACCGTGGGCCGTGGTTCGTGGTCAAGTGCGGATAAACATCCTGTGGCGTTCGATGTCGAGTTCGCTAGTACTCAGCCCATAGCCAGGCACCGTAGCCCTGCACTTGTGAGGCCTTGTTGATTGCTCTTTCTGCGATGGTCGACATGATGTAATCAGAATTTGGCCATGGAAAACTCGGAGGATGGACATCTGCAAGTTCCAGGTCAGGCCATGACTGAGCGTGTCCTCCAATTCGCAACGAACAAAGATGTGAGCGCATTTGCCGATCTGGCGGTCCGAGAATGGAAGAGGTGGTGCGTTAGCGGGCTGCATCGCGTGTATTGTCTGCGTGGTGGGCGACCATGGTGGGTAGGACAGCCGACGAGGGAAGCGGAAAGAACATTGTTGAGCCATGGGTGAGAAAGGGGGGAACAGAAGGACAAGAAAGGGACAAGACCAAGCCCAGAAAGCTTGTTGACGAAGCCAAGATTGGAGGGTCTTCTTGCCGTCACCAATTGAAGTTCGGATATTCATCCCCGCGAAAAAGTGACGAAGCTGGAGAAAGTTTGGAGAAGCCTCAATGTTTCGCGGGGAAGAAGTGGAAGTGTGTGTGTGGGTGGCCGGATTTGGTTGGCGGATTGTTTGGTGGACACTGCCCTGACAGCCCCTGGCAAGTGGCAGGGGACAGCCGCTGAGGCTTGCAGATCATCGTGCCTTTCCCCAGCCAGGGCAATTGACCCCACTTGGACAGATCCCAAAAGCTAAAATTGACCGCAGCTCAGATCATTCACTAACAGAGAGCTGTCTTCTGATAAGCTATTGCTGTTAGAGTATTAACCGCATCCGACTATAACTGGACGACGTCCTCTTTCGGTTGCTGCCAGTGGAGACGATGGGACAGAACTTCTTCCCCCAATCATCTCAACTCAGATTCTTTCATCCAGCTTCCCTTCACCTCAGCTTCTGCACCACAGACGAGGGACAGCACGCCATCGTTTATTCCAACCTCACTTCTTCCATCTTACTTCCACACCCGGTTTTCATTCTCCGTGTTCTATGGTTCACGCACACACACAATTGACGCCCACAATGACTCCATCCTTCTTTTTCCGGATCTTCATGTCGTGACACACCCTCAACCCCCCCTACCACTCTTCGGATCCAAGACAAATCCCATGGAACTACCCGGTACCTGTGCAAGCTGGGCTGCACCCCTTCTGCACATCACCCAGGCGAGCGAAGAAAATAGCACCGAGCAGGTCCGTCCTGAGTAACCCGGAATATGGCCTTTTCTCAGTCGACCACGACGCCAACGCGACTGGGCACAGTTTGTATTCACCTCCTGCATGATGCCGTGTCCGGGAGCAGGATGCCCAAATATGGTTCGGCCAGGAGGCTTTGCCCGCTAGAATTGGTCGAGTATTCTCTCACACGCTGCTCTTTCTGTTCTCTGTGCAGACTGCTAATGCCTTGTTCCTGGCCCCAATATCTCCCTTCCATCTTGGCCCTCTCGTATAACTGATTACGAAGGGTCCCAAGGCCAGATTCTAGTGCATCTTTCCCCGACGGCCCGCAATGGAAGCCATGTCGTTGTTGTTTGTCCTCCCTCGATCCCGTGCACTGTGGCACAGTACCTACATACATACTTTCCACCATCAGAGGACTTCCCGACCTAATCTAACCTTGCTCGACATCTGATCATGGCCCGAGCCAGCAATGCGCTCCAAAGTGCGGGGTAAGGTAGGTGACTGGACTTGGGTTTGGTACAGTTTCACAGATCAGACTCTCTTAATTATAGCTGCACCCGACTACCGCTTGCTAAGAGGTTGGCAACCTTTAACCAGTTCTCACTGCTGAGAAAGAAGAGAGGGAAGAGGGAAATGAGAGGACTATACTCAGAACTGGCACAATTAACGGTACACAACACATCACCTTTACCCTATGGATCCTCTTCTCCCCCAAGTGGGACTTCACAGTCAGCACTCACCAGCACAAACCCTCATAGACAGACAGCCATGATCAATCAACCCATCTCATTCATCACTTTCCCGCTCATACAGTCACCCAGTCAGCCATCGAGTGCAACTCTACAAGTGCCAGTTTGTGTGCGGGTGTGCTTGCCACCGGATCAAAATCTGGAGACAAGGCATTTTAGCCGTGGCCCAATATCTTGCATTCACCCAGACCTGCGGCTACGCGCTCCAATACATAGCGTCGTGCCAGAGACAACTGCTCCTGTATTCTCGACAGGTCACCCTGGCCCGGCCAGTTGAGACGGCAGTAGTATAGCATAGAGCATGTACCGGTAAACGGAAAGAAAGCTGTCTTTGATTACGTCGGGGGCGGAAGAACGGCAACACAGCGTTTACCAACATTGTCCACACCACTCAATTTTGCTTGTTTTGCTTACTACTTTTTCTCCGCTGCAAAGCCCGCGAATCGTTGGGCTCCAAGAATCTCCCCGGTCGGAATTCGGAAGCACGTCTGAGTGTGGCTCATTATTTTTGTTATATTCTGCGCTCCTCCTTCTCTCCCTGCTTCGATCTTCGTATGTACTCTGCCACCCCAAACTCCAAGTTCTCTCTCCGCGGTACTGGGCCCACTCCATCATCGATCATGGCAGCTGAGTTGGATCAATTTACCAATACGAAGCCTCTCCAAGGGGGTGGTTTGATCGGTTTGGAACGGATGAAGGAGCTGGAAAACAAATACCAGGTATGCGGGCACCCGTCTTGACCGCTTTCCTTTTGGGCCGTGGCTTTGCGGCTGGATGTCTCATCATGTAAAACCACTGACCGTTATCCGTCCACCAACAACAGATCGACCAATCCCACCACAATGGCTCTCTTTCTCCTCCTCCAACACCCTCTTCTCCCTCTTGCCTTGATCAGCAGGAGCCGTCAACCCCTATAGCTGCCCGCCGTCTGTCCGCACAACAAAATTATCTGATGCTCAAAGCTGTCCGGCGAAGCCTCGTTTTACCACCACTGTCAATCACCATCCCCACAGGGCTGACTGAAGCCGCCAAACACGAGTTTATAAGAGAGACGGACTACCAAGCAGAAAGGCAAGAGGAGAGCCAACTTCAACCAGGAGCTGTTGCGGAGCCTTTGCACAAGCAAGTCAAATTCCTTGCACCCGACGAGGACGAAGAAGAGGAGGAAGAGGCCGAGATGTCAGATCAGTCTTCAATCTGTCAGTCTCCTAGTTGGGAAAATTACGGCGAGAGGAAGAAAAAAAAGAAGGAAGATGCAGACCGTCGGAAGAAGGAGAAGGAGCAGGCAGAAAAGGAGGCAAAAGCAGCCAAGAAACGCCTAGCTGCCCGGCTGAGCAAGGCACCTCCCCCGATGTTGCCGCGGTCTCCGACCCAAGAAAACCCAAGGATCACCGCACTCGCCTACCCAGAGCGATCGATGTCCGATACGCTTCTCACCAACAAGCATCTCTTACCAAGCTCCCACCTCGTCACAGCGCAAAATGTCGACAAGTCACTGTCAGCAGATGATTTGCAACGACATAGCCGGCCATATCATACTATTGCTTCAGCAGGGAGGGGTAACGCTTCCCTTACCCAAGGCGAGTGCCAAGATCAGCTTTTGCCTCAACACACTGTTCGTTATGAGAGCTTTGATCAGCGGCCACAGCCGCGCCAAACACACTCGGAGAGCCTAGGCGTTATGAACGCATCGTCATGCCAGGTACCATCTCCTCGGAGAGAGGCGTTCCCCCCTTCTTCCTCGAGAACTCCGATGCTGCGAGCAACAAGACCTGCTACAAGCCATGGCCGGAGCAATAGTCTACTACAAGGGGCATCCCGACTGTTCAAGGGGAAAGAGGACGAACACAGAGACGACAATGCTGGCCCTCAACTGCAAGACTCCCCGCAAATTTTCGAGGAGGATACACGAGGTCGGCCCAGAGACGGATATGTTCGTCATAACAGAGTTCAGAGCGCCAGCCGTGCAATGGCTGGAACTGCAGACGACCAACTACCCAGCAGTGCGAGCTTCGGACCATCATCAAGGAGTAGTTCTCAGACAACCCAAACACGACGCTCATCGCTATCACAAGAAGCCCGAAGTGCGGCCATGAAGCTCGTTGGCATCAGAACAAGCTCCGCAGCCAAGTCGGATCGCCTTACCGACAAGAAGCCAGCCAAAGAGACTGATTACTTCAACTTCATGGAGCACGCGTATTCGGCTGCTGTTCTCTCGTCCATGGCTACCGCAGGAAAACCTAAGCCGGCTCCAGAGGCGCCAACTCCTCCGAGATCGCAGAACTCAATCGGAGAGGCATCTGTGACATTGACGATTGCATCCTCCAGTTTCCAGGGGTCTTCTGTTGCCGGGTCTGACGCAGGTAGCCAAGCTAAGAAGAACCGCAGTCTGAAGGACGCGGCAAGGGCAGCATTGGGCATGTCAACAGGGCATCCGGCAACTCCTGATGCAGTGAGATCGCCTGTACAAGCACCTCCTTACCTAAGGTTCCGATCTCGAATTAGCTCGCAGACTTCAGCCGTTTCAACGCCGAATGCCTTCCCGCCGGTCGTTAAACACACAATATCTGGTTCTCCTCGATCAGTTATTACCCGGGAAGGCGAGACCTTGACTAAACACAGCTCTGACACAACGCAGAGCAATGTGATCAACACGACGGAAGTGGCGCTACCGCAGGTTAGTGCTTCGGAAGGCTCATCGTCATCATCCGCCTTCGACGAAGCATCACCACTTCCCTCGCCAACGACCACCCCGGATACATCGAGGCCCCAATCCTCTAAGGACATGCCATTGGTGTCGAACGATATCACGAGCAGCCCGACAAACCTGGAGGCAGGGCAAGATGACGACCGGACTGTCCGTCAACGATCGGAAGATTCGGCCTCACAGGCTTCCACCACACCTCGGGATGGCTCTGAGGTACGCGACAGCAATAAGGGGCTCACGACGGGCGAGGAGTGGAGCATGTCTGGTCTTTTGATAGACTTGGGCTTTGACACGCAATCACCGATTAGCGCACTTGCGAACGGCGAAGTCAAGGCCAATCACGGTGTTAAGCGATCGACTGCTGGCTCAGGTTCGTCTTCACCGAGTGATTTCAGCCGCCCTTCTTCGAGAGGCAAAGACACTACTCAGCATCAACCCATGTTGGACCGGGAGGAGGATACCCGTCCACAGCTCAGAATGTCTAAGTCACTTTCTGATCCGGACATCCGTGCTACTATTTCACCGCTAGTTGCTCACGCCACCTTGTCATCGCCAGAGGATGCCATAATCGTTCCCCCAAGGTCACCTAAGCGTACTCGCACTGCTGGCTATTTTGCTGCTGAAAAGAGGGGCCATGAACAGAAGCTACATCAGGCATTCTCATGGGAGAGGGGAGATGAGGAGAGCTACCAAACGGTATCGATGGCAGAAGTGGCAGCTAGGCAAAGGACTGAAGTTGTTATGGGGACGGAACTAAGATTCGATATGGGCGGGGAGGAACATAGGGGCAAGAGACGGCAAAAGCTGACGTCTTCCCGGATGCCCAGTCAGACGGGAGAAATACGATCTCAACAACCACGAGTTGTCAGTGGAGAACGGCAGAAGTCGGGATACCGGCATCCCAGCTCAAGTGAACCGTCGCCCATGCACGACAGCTTTTCATCAGCTTCTACTTTAGCCGCAGGCGGCTATAGTCGATCGAAGTTCACTACCCTACCCGCAGGCTTTGCTTCTTCTCCAGATCTTCCCGGCTCATCATCTAGGCAGGCCGAGGAATGGCCTGAGGTACCTCCCATCTCACCTCAGATGGTGTCACAATTCCCGAGTCCACCATCAACATCACGAAGTCCAACGCCTCTGGCTTCCCCATTATCACCACCTCCATCAACCACTTCCTACTCCTCAACAGCATCCCGCTCCGCCTCAACGCCTCCAGTCTCCATCCTCAAACAACCCCGCCCACCCATGCCCCCAATCCCAACCTCAATGCCTATCCTCTCCGCACTCCCTAAACACATGCTCCATCAATCCAACCATTCCACCCCCAATCTCCCTTCTCCTCCCGCATCATCTCGTCCCACCACTCTCGCACTTGCCCCTCACGGAGGTCCCAGTGCAGAAGAAAAGAAGCAGCCGCCCGTCGTGCCGCTGCCGGTGGAGCCTCTTCACAACCGTTTGCCAAGATCTTGGTGCAATGCTGCAGCTGCCAGTTCTTCCTCGACATGCCGTCCAAGGTGTACGAGTGCATCGCGAAGCCGGATGCGGTGATTGAGGACCGAGCATTGGGGGTGTCGGGGGCGATCATGACGATGGTCAAGTGTCCGTGGTGTAGCCACAAGATGAGTCGGGAGTGTTGCAGGGGGTATACGGCTATGGTTACGCTGGTGGAGAGGTATCATTAGGGATATAATGGGAGGGAGTGGAAAGGGGAGGCCAGGAGGGAAATGAAGATTGGTGATATGGAGGGTTGAGGGGGTCGCTGGAACCCGTTTCTCGGTTTTTTTTGTGGTGTTCATTTTTATGCGAAGCTATGCTCAATCAGATACCTGTTTCCTTTGTGTTTTCATTTGACTTTCGGTTAAGGCGGACACGGGCAAGACGGGTATTGTAGTTAGGTAGTAACGGAAAGTAATCATAACAATGGAAGTGAACATGGCATATGACAGGGACTCAAGTCCAAACATTGCGGACCGGACCGGACCAGACGGAAAGTGCTTCCGAGGTTTGCAGCATGATTATGTGAGGAAAGGAGCGAGGAAAGTTCCCTCGCGCACGAGACGAGGAATGTATATTTAAGAGTTGCGTTCTGCGCCTTCCTTCTCTTCTCTGGAAGTGACATCAAGTGGATACCTAACGGCTTCATGTATGTGACAACACCACTGTTATCAGGAAGGGAGGAATTGAAGATCATTACATAGTAGGTAAGAATCGATGAGACCAATCAGCGCTGCCCTGGCAATGCTCCTTTCGACCAGAACCTTCAACAATTTCATCCCAAGGTTGGACGGCCCCCCCTCGGTCCCGTGCCTGCCTCCCGAACCCGTGCCTGCCTCCCACTCCCGTGCCTGCCTCCCACTCCCGAACCCGAACCGGGCCACCACTCTCATCGCCAGCCAAATACCCTACAGGCACTACAGCAGCGGTAAGGGGGGCTATATATATAAATTCCAACGCCCAAATTTTCGACGCTGCTTCTACATGATGTGAGGATCGATATTGCAAGTAGTAAAGCTGCAATTTTGAGCCACCTTTCCGGGCACTCATAAGTTCGAACCGCGACGGTGTCTTTTTGTTTTTACACACACCTTTTACCCCTTTTCTTCTTCTTTGTTTGGCCCATTTTCTTCCTTCTTCTTTTACTTTCCCCGGATAACAAGAGATGGACCGGACCATGTTGGCCCCAAAATTGGCTATGCGTTCAAAGCAAGCAGGCAGGCCAGTGAGACTGACTGCAACGTCTGTCTATACTAGTAGTATCCCATAGTATCAACATCAACCAAAGCGGTTTGTTTGCCAACGACAAGGGAATGGAAGGTGAGAGAGAGAAAGAAGTCATGCAACCTAACAGAGATCCCGCCCCAATAATTCACCAGTCACCTTGAGGCGGCTAGCGTTGGCTTCGCACCCCAACCTATCTTCGCGCAACTGCTGGTCGCCTTGTACTTGGGCAACCAACCCCTTCAGCTACAGTGGTGAGGTGAGGTGGTGGCCGGGTGCCTGGCCGGTTGTCATAATGCAAAGATGTGCTTAGTCTAGTATACTGGTGATACACGAGGAAGTCGACAGCATCTCGTCATCGGCTGGATATGGTCCATACCTGTAAGAATGAAGCGTCGATGACTCGTACTTCAACCACGTATTGATGAGAGTAGCTTGCTCCTAGTTTACTCACATCGGCGACGAAGTGTCGTACGTGAGTGATATAGATATCCATCCATATTCTGCGTTGCACTTGACGACGGGTCAAGGTAGGGTGAATCGATCCACTGAGAATATTCCTACGGACATGATTCGCTATGGGGGAAATCAGGAACGGATATCTCGAGTATAAAGTATCATAGAGTACATATTCGGCCTCCAAAAGAAACTCCAACGAGGTCAGTGCCGACAAAGACCAGCCCAGACCAGCCTCAAACTCAGACCAAAGAATACAAGAACTGAAATCCAAGAGAGCCACCACAACTCTTGACCCAGTCAAAAACGTGCACAACTCATGTTTGGTTATACTACTGCTACCACTGCGATGATTTAATACGCACAGGAACCAAGAAGGTCCAGTGCGACTACGTTATCAGAAGAAAAAGCCGGTTACCGGTTATCGTGGGGCGGGTGCGGGCGGAGGATTCTAAGCCAAGAGCATATTCGGTATAGAGAGTGTGAGTCGTGTGCGCGATGACGATGACGAAGGCAGGGAAAGAAGGGGAGAGAAAGGGACGAGAAGGGAAAAAATGAGTTGGGAATCAACAATAGGAAGGGGGTTACCGGAGCTTCCTACCTGGACTTCGCAAGATGGTGGTAAGTCGTCAGTCAGTTGGATAGTAATGCGAATGGTACTGAGAGGCTAGTAGTCGGATGCCATACTTTGATATGGGCTCTACTACTTTTCCGCCTCTAATTTTTCTTCTCCTTTTTTTTTTTTTTTTCTTTTTCGGTTTTCCTTTCCTTTCTGAATGTGTGCGCTCTCTGCTTCTCAACAATTCCTCTCCGTTCAGTGTCGTCGACAGCTCTATCGTATTCTTTTCCCCGTCGTTTCAAGGACTGACGGCCTGAGGCGTAGAATATTCATCTTCTTCATCCCCAGTTTGTCGATGGCGAGGCCACCTTTCCGGTCTTTCTGTGCCGGAGCCACCGAGGGTAGGCTAGATATGTCTCCTGTGTTCAACCTCATCCCCTGCGTGTCGCGAAGGTGAACATGCTGTGCAATCTCCGCATCGAACTGCGTGTGTGAGAAAGATGATATGAGGAAGTGGTTTATCAAGCCATTTTCTCTTCTCCCACGTCGCTCCCCGTCTTCCTCGATCCCTTGGCCTGGTTTCAAGTATGTTAATCTCCGTCTGTTGACGTACCACTACTCATTCTATTGAGAAGATGAAGACTTTGTGAGCCAACTCTATATCCAAAATCATTAGCCTCCACAAGGAAGCTTTGCTGAGGAACTCAAGACGGGTAATGGAAAGATGCCTAAAGATCCTTACACGATGGAGTGGAGTGGAAGATCCGATGATCGTGAACGACGACAGACTGGAGACGATGGAGACGGGATGAGCCGTGTGAGTTCAGGCCGCTTATCTTATCAGATGGTTGCTTATCAACCGAAAAAGGATCTGATAAAAGTGATAACCTTGACGGCCATTTGCTTACATCAGCAGTCAATGAATGACATCACCTCCACAACTGGCTGGAGTGAGCCATTGAGGTGTCTGTTTGGCATTCGGCCGGTCGGGAAAGAGCGGGTCCATTGAAAGTTTAAAGTGGAGAAAGGATGTGAGTCGTCGTTTCCACCGGCTGCACAAGGCCGAAGAGCAAGAGGGGCGGGGTTTTTCAGCGCTAAGCAAAAGCCGTTTTAGCGCTGCAGGAGTGGACACAGGGACCCAGAATATTCTGTCTGTCAATGACGGAGCCGAGCAGCACAAACGCCCTCCCCGAGGCAAAAGTGCTTGCTGTTTGACATTTTCGGACCCCCGATCGATATCTCCGGCTTCGCTCAACATTTCCATCCAATTCCCATCCATCCATCCTAGTCACTCCCAGTCATCCTGAAGTGGCCAACGTCAACCTTTCGTCAACATCCCATCTGTTCTCTTCCCTTATCAATCTCCTCCTCATCCACCACCTTTGTTGGCGTTGTCACTCATATCCCTACAACACCCTATTCTACCCTACCCTTACCCTCCCATCCGGTCCTGTTCCTGCTTGGTGCTCGTGCTTCTGCTTATCGCGACAGTAACACAGCATCCGTGCAGTCAGCAGTGACATACAACGCTCCACCTAATATTTCCCTCGGGTCCCTTTTGTTTCCCTCTCGCAGTCAGAGGCATCTTTGCTGCCGGCGCTCCTCGCGCGCGCTCCCTCGACATAACGCCGGCCGCGGGGCCTTGAGACTTATTCTCGACTGCCAACCATGGCTTCCATTCTACAAGGCGCGCACTCCTCGGCAGGTCACGACTACGATAGGATAATAGACCATCACCATGACTCCTCCTCGTCCGCTTCCGCCTCTCCGACCCCGAGTGCCTTCCCCACCGTTGCCCAAGACGACAACCCTCCGAACGAACCCATCGTCGAGATCACGGCCGCCCAAAAGATGCTCTCCGCCACCTCGGGCAGTCTTCTCACCGGCCTCCTCGTGACTCCCCTCGACGTCGTGCGAGTCCGATGGCAGTCCCAGTCCTTTACCCAGCCATCACCAACCGCTCATACCGTTTCCGATTTCTCCAAGCTAGCCGGCTCACATTTATCCAATGCCGCTTTCCGGCCCTCGAATCTCGGCGTCACCGCCTGCTGCCGCGAAGTCTTCTTTGCCAACAACTCCGATGGATGCATCGTCGCCGCCGGGCCGCGCATTGGCTCTGGTGCCATCACACCCAGTGCCATCTCCTGCGCGGTTGAAGAGACAAAGCAACGAAACTTCAACTCTACACTCGACGGCCTCCGCAAGATCGCCCGCAATGAGGGCTTCACTTCCCTCTGGCGCGGACTTTCACCAACCCTCCTGATGGCTATCCCCGCCAACATCATTTACTTCACCGGCTACGACTGGCTGCGTTTCAACACTTCCAGTCCGATCCAGCAAAACGTCAAGGAGGAATACGCTGCCCTAGTGGCTGGTGCAGGTGCCCGCATCCTCGCCGCCACGGCCGTCGGGCCTATCGAGCTGTTCCGCACTCGCATGCAGGCTTCCCCGGGCAGCACAACGGGATCACATCTCACTCATACGTTTAGGGGGATCAAGGACATGGTTCACGCGCACGGCTATCGATCGCTCTGGAGGGGGTTGACACTTACCCTTTGGCGTGACGTGCCGTTTTCTGGAATGTACTGGTGGGGATATGAGTCGATTCGAGGAACGTTGACGGATGCACGCGAGGCTCGCTCTAGGGGACGTGGTAGGACACTCGACCTAGATTCCGAAGACCGCCACAGAGCCCGTCGGAGGTCCCAGTCAAGGGAGAATCACGCCGAGACCTTCACCGACAGCTTCATCGCCGGCGCCTTATCTGGAGCCTTCGCCAGCGTGGCCACCATGCCATTCGACGTCGGCAAGACGAGGACACAAGTCTACCGTGACACCGGCACTACAACACAAGCCGCTATCGCGACAATGGAGAAGACTGCTGCGAGACCGGAGGAGAGGAACATGGCAAGACTGCTGTGGCATATCTTCTCCACGGAAGGCGTGGCCGGTCTTTTCAGGGGCTGGATTCCCCGCACGCTCAAGGTGGCGCCGGCTTGTGCCATTATGATTAGCAGTTATGAGGTCGGAAAACGAGCCTTTAGGGGGATGAATGAGCGGGCGGCCATGAAGGAGCGGGAGGAGCTCGCACAGCAGCAACAGCAACAGGAGCATTCGAGGGAGACTTGAGAAGAGGCTCTTCAATGCTTTGGTTGATATGTCCTGCTGTTTGGAGGGTGTGTAATTCTTTTGGGTTGAGTCCCGATTATTCTCTTCTCTTCTGTCATTTTTGTTCCAAGGGGTTACTTGTTCATACCACCAATACCTCTCCACATTTTGCATCTTGGAGTTCATGTTTCTTCTCTTTTTGTAAACTCTTAGGGTGGCTACGGTCAAACTTTCTCGCAGCATGTTTGGCGTTTGAGTTCTTAGACTATGGACGGAACGGAACGGAGCGAGTCAGGCAATGGACAAAAAGTAGTAATTTCTTCTCTCATCTCACATGATCTTTCCCCACAAACTTCCTTTCGATCGCTCTACTTTCTCCTTTGCTTTAGAGAGTGTGCTGTACGAGTTCTCTGTGATGTGTATGAGTATTTGGTATAGGTCCCTGGTGTACAGCAGTACCCGCTGGGTTGCTAAAAGGCGCGGGGAAAGCAGCGCTGTCATGTTAGAGGCGTTGATACCAACACAGGTCTGGTGTCGGATGGAAATAGCAGCGAACTTTCAAGTGTACTTGTTCTGAATGTCATCCAGCCATCTGGTTGATGACTTAATATCCCATCCTCCCTCTCATGGATAAGCGCTCAATCACGCTCAGGTCATTGGGTCGGCGACGACCAGCGAATTTTGCCCAAGCTCTAACCCTTCCATGGTATGGTCTTCAACCAAAAGTCCTTCTTTTGATTATGGGGAGCTCTTTTTTATCCTTGGCTTCTCCGCAATGGGCTGCGGCGGGGGATTCATAGTTGGTGAGAGGTGTACTCAGAGTGATATCATTCTAGGATTAACGTACCTTTAATAGAGTCAAGGAGTTAGAACACGTAGAGTAGGAGAAGAAATATGGGCACAACTTGCCCGAATCTCATGTCCTCCTCCGCTCCGGGGTCTTTTCATGATAGGTACTTGGCACTGGAATATGGTGTTCTACCCCATGCCATATAGAGGTAGTGGGAGTGAAGAACAAACCCCATGGTACTAATGCACAGTGATAAAGACCCTGAGCACTTATCAAATAATGAAACAAATCTTTCCCACCAAGATCTCTTGTTTGCTTTCTGTGATGATCGTGGCAGAGCATTTCGGGTGATGTGCGACAGCCAACTGATAGTATGTGACCATGTTTGCCCCGATGGCAAAGAGCCCTGAGCTTGCAAACCAAAAGCCAAAGGCCGGGACATCAAGAGTACTCATTGACATCCTTTGAGAACAGAATGCTGGACACTCCCCAGGAATTTCGTCCAATCTTGCTTGTACCCAGCCACTGAAAAGTAGCAATGCATCCAGTATTCGTATGAGCACAATCTTCAGAGTCCACGATAGTCCTTCTCGAATTCGTCTTCCTATGAGCGTCGGCCTAATTTTCTTGAACAATATGGGTGCTTTGTCGTCCTTAGACTCTTCCCAGTCACCCATGACGCGGTAACAAATAGCTGCGTATGTGAAGGCCGTGGAAGTTAGGGATACCAAGTTCGTAACTAATCCGAAATGATAGGTGCTAATGTCCTTATCGACGTGGAGTTTCTTGAGGGCGGCAATGAGAAGCACGATGGAGGTCACAAGTTGCTGATCACCCCAGGAAATGACCATATCGTAGCAGACCCGGGCGCACTTCATCGCCCCCTGCTCCCTACCTCTAAGAACCCCCCTGATATCTCTCATTCGCCGCGAGAAGAAGTCTCTAAGCCATGACTTCTCGGTTGTCTTTCTGCGTGGCTGGCCAGGTGCAATGATCAAAAAGACGAAGCTTAGAAAGACCGTAGGGTTGACGGAGATCAAGAATGAAACGATCACCTAGATGTATTTTCCACGGCTCGTCAGTAATCGGTCCACGCTTGCGTCTGTTCCGCCACAACTCTTGCTCTTCACATCAAACAGACCATCGGTGTCTCCAGTGGTAGAGGATGCCAACCCCGGTGAGCCGGACAATCCTGTTGTCAGTTGTGACATGAATGCCAAAGCACCAACATGAATGCCAGAGAAAAAAAAAAAAAAAAAAAAAAAAAAAGGAAGAAGAGAAAGAAACAAAAAAAGGAGCATAAATCAGACAATACACCAATTCCCGCAATATCAGGATCCCCCTGGATCGTAGGGCATATCTCGCACGGCCCACAGTAGTCGAGGTTCCACTCGTCGTTCGTGATGTTGAAGTACACCTGGGTGGTATTTGTGTCGCCTGTGGTGTAATTCCAACAGAGAATCAGAGGCTCAACCAGGCCCATAACGGAGGGCGATTGAATGCCGAGCCCTTGGGAGAGTGCAATGATCAGGAATGTTAGGTACCTATTTCAACTGAGTGCGCGGAAATTCAAGATGCCAAACAAGAAGGAAGGATGTAAGAAGAAGAACAACAAGGAGACAAAGTTCAAAATGGAGGGGGAAAGAACGGAGAGAACAAGGGCAAGAAAAGGTCTAGTAAGTTTGAGAGACAACCAAGATAAAACGTACGGAAAGAGAAACAAACTCGAAGAAAAAGGGAAAGACGGGAGAAAAGAGAAAATATCATACGAAAACAGCCTACTAGCTGAGAGGTGCCTCAAAATGTAAAATTCGACCAATGCCATCATCACCCTCTCTCTGTATCTACCTACACCCATTCAGCATCCACCCAACCCAACGCAGTGTTACCCACAAAAACATGCCACATGAAACCTTTTTCAACCGCAAGGCTGCGCAGCATGGGCTTTCTTTTTTTTTTTTTGTTGCCTCTGCACTCTGCATCATCAACCTCGCTAAAACAAACCAAACACCATTCGCCATTAACGCCATCCAAATCACAGCCACGTACACGTACATGTAGACCATCTCACCGTCAACGAGTGACATACTTCAATTATGTATTTACCTTGCTAGATCATCGCTGTACGCCTTACTGCTTGTATTGAAGTACGGTATCTTCGAACCCAATGAAGCTGCGATTTACCAGCACTGGAAGGGCAGCCATTTACCGAGTACCACGACGATGACAACAGAAATAGGCACTGCCACCACCATGCACCGAGTTACCATTTACCAAGCGAGGAGGTAGTCCATACATGTACTCGAGGCAAGAAATTGATAGAGGAGACACCTTCAACCATGACGAATATTGTGGTCAAAAGTACATGGGCATTAAAGAATAAAAAATTGCTAACAAGGAGTTCAATGGCCATTTTTCTACTCCTCGAAAATTCACAAGGTCCTGAAACGTGGGTAAAGAGTTGCGGCCGAGTGTCTTGGAGGGGACGTAGTGATGCCTGTGGGCCGGTGGATTTTGGGAGCGGTGCGGATAGGTTGACGTTTGCTGGAAATGGAGTACTTCGAGGAATGCTTGCGTGATGGTTTTGCTCCAACAAAGATCTTTAGGGTACCCAGAATTCTTTCAATTGTGTTTGCACTTCAATCAGGAACGAAGGGAGTTTGCATCTTTGAACGTTGTGGAATGCATGGTGAATAGAAAAGGTTCGATAAAGATAGAGGTATCGTATTGATGTAGCATGCTAAGAGACATTACTAATCTTCCAAGAAAGAAATCCGCCAACTATGATCCTGCACCTGTTACCCCAATAAAAACATTGTTCCTAAGCCCATAACACCCCATCCAGGGAGACTTAAACTCATACTCATTCGTTGCTCAACACTCCTGCCCAATTTGAGTCATTACTGACCAATCCCACGCGCTTGTTCGAATATTGTGACGCCAGACCCCTTCTCAATAACTATTATACCGCGGTCGTTGCCTTTAGACCTGAAGTCTCTCATAAGCCTTGATGGCCTTCTCAAGGGCAGCACCGAGGGTGTTACCCTGCTCCTGGATATTCTTGGCATCGGACTCGCAGGTGTTGATCAGGAAGATGGTGAGATTCTGCATATGAGGCCCGTATGGTTAGTGAGAAGCTCAGTTACAATATGGGTTGGTTGGGAACTCTTATCAGAGTAAAAAATCCAGAAAGGTCGGAGAACTCACGTCATAAACGCCCTCGACCTGTCTGAGGACAGCGGAGACGGGAGGACCAATGAATGGCATTTGGGTAAGAATTCCCGCTTTGCCGATCAGGATGTTGAGTACTTCCTCGTTGGTACTGGCAAATTTGAGGTAGCCTTCGGTAACGGCTTCACAGCTGTCTCCAAATGACGGCTGGGTGCCTGGAGTCTGAGCAATGATTGTGGTCGCTGTCGATACAATGTCCGTGTATCCTGAGACGATTGCCTGGTATATACATTAGCTGGGGCTCCATACACCAAGCAGCTGGAGTTTGATAACTTACAGGCCAAGGGCCTTGACCGATAACGATGAGAGGACTGTTAACAACAGTGATGGACTTGGCGGGTCTTTCAAGTGCGTTTGCTTTGGTGGTAAGCTGTTTCAGGCCGTCAACCATCTGGTTGGAAGTGAGAGCGCGAGTCACAGGCTGGGCCACGACGCTTCCAAGGGTACCAATTGCGGAGATGAGTGAGAAACGCATTTTGATGAGTGGTGGTGGGTGGAGAAGGGTGAATGAATTGTAAAGTTTAGAGTTGTGTATGGAGTGATGATGGATGTAATGCCGATGATGCTGATAATAAGAGGGAGAAAAGATATTTCAGAGGCAGAGGAAGGTTGAGGTTATATACCAAAACCTTTGTCGAGCTCTCAAAAGATCTTCATCTTTTTTGTCGTCAGTCGCTCCAGGGTCCATTGCGTCCGAGTCCGAGTCAGCGATATGAATCTCAGTCTCTATCTGTCGTCGCCATCTACACCTACATTACTCCGACGATGACGATCAAAAGGTGTTAGCGAGCCAAGAAATTGAATCTTCTCATCAGGGTCCATGGGTTTGGGTCCATCCACCCTGGTTGTCGATCTCAGATCAACGATAAGCGCATGCAAGATCCGGTTCAGGGACTTTCAGCCGCATCACGCTAACAGGACACAGCGGTGACCATGCTAATGGTGATGTTCACCGCCAGAAAAGGGAGGTGAGCGCGCAGCCAGCGCAAAAGGCGAGTGTCCTTAGGTGAGTTGTTCAGTTGAAGTTCGGTTTTGGGAATGGCTCGCTTGCATTGACGCAGCTGAAGGACCCTTGCTGCTAACAAAATCGGGAATGGTCCCTGTAGATCACCCGTCTAGCAGCAAGCGGGACTAGGGTTCCCCACTAACTTTCAGGGTGTTAGAGCCAGGAACAGAGTGGTCAAACGACCCGACCGCATTACATAAGCTCGCTGACCCTATGGTCCGTACATTCACATACAAAATTGATCCAACCTACAAAAACAAAAATTTGATATAGTTACTACAATACGTATTTGCAGGAAGTCACTTTAATAGATCTCTAGTCAAAATCTTAAATGATATGAAATACAGATAGTCAAACGATCTAACCCTGTTATATAAATTTACTAACCCTTAGTCCGTATATTTATGTTTGCTGCAATGCCCTTCCTAACTAGCTTATAATTATAGCACCAGTATAGAGATGCTA